TGTTAAAAAATCCGATGTGCGATTCGTCCAAACCACAAAAATGCGAAGTCGGCGATCTGTCGAGCAAGCTGTAATTATCGGAACATCACTGGGTCCTCGATTTCAACAAGGTACGCGAGTACCATCATCATCACTAACTTAAGAGGACCTCTTGCGAGAGCTTTCGGGCTCTTCAAATCTCAAATCAGGATACAATCCAAGAGTCTAAGAGGCAGCATCGTTGTAAGCCAGGAGTATTCGACTGCTGCGAGTGTAGGTGTGAGTCAAGCGATATTCGGGGTCTGCGAGTACGTATGTCAAGGGCAGTGTAGGAAGATCTCGTATCGTCCGGTTTTCGCGTGGGGAGAGATTTCAATGGGGGAGGTTTTGCCACACACGTTCATCGTGATACTATAGCCGGACTGAGCCCTGTCCTTAGCGTTGTTGACCCAGCGGCGTCTGGTACGAGACAAGCTAGCGCCGTGTACGTTAGCGCGACCACTAATGTCCCGCGCCTGGCAAACCCAACACATCCACGACACACTGAACGATATTTCGACAAGAATGGACTAGACAGCGAAGGGTCGCGTAGTATGGAGTTCCTGTATTAGACTATACGTTGACATGCGCTGCTATTATTGGATGCGTTTTCGTGGGAAGAAGTCCGGGCCGTTGCGGGCCTTGATCTGTGATGAAACCTGCCCTGGATTCGAACGAATCGATAGTGGATTAGAAAGAAGTTGATGGGATATAAGAGGAGGATGAGACCGCCGTTGCAGTCTATCAACAATAGCGATACCTCGAGCTTTTAGACTTCTCTCTCCGACGATCCGACCTGAAGACTTTCCATAACCCCCAAAGCGATATACTTGCCAATACAACCCAATCTTGATATGTTGGCTTCAAAACAAACCATCGCCTTTTTCGGCGCAACTGGTGGATGCGCAGGTAGCTCCCTCGCCTGTGCCCTCCGCTCAGGCTACCATTGCACAGCTTGTACGTCTACGTCCTATCCAACTCCTCCTCATCCATCAAATCATCAAGCCATCACCCAGTCAATTGACACCCAACAGTAGCCCGCACCTCTTCAAAACTCATCACCAGCCTCACGACCGACCACGCCATCCCAGCCTCATTGATAGAAGCCAATCTCACCATCATCCAAGGCGACGCAAAGAACCCGTCCGACGTAGCCCAGGCCCTCATCTCTCCTACAAACAGCTTACACGTGGTCGACATAATCTACTCTTCCATCGGCGCATACCCCACCTTCCAACTCTCCCTCACCACCCCCTTCGTCCTACCGGACCCCACCCTCTGCACATCAGGCATGCGCGCCATATTCTCCGCGCTCTCAGCTCTCGACATCGCCACCGCGTCGGGACGCAAACCACTCCTCATCGCCTTGAGCTCTACCGGCGTCAACGGCAAGGCGAGAGACATCCCGTGGCTGTACTACCCATTGTACAAGCTCCTAGCGGCACAACTGCATGCGGACAAGCGCGGCATGGAGGAGGTTGTGCTGAGCGATGGGGGTGAGCATGTTAGGGACTTTGTCATTGTGAGGCCGACGGCGTTGGTGGATGGGGTCAAGGGCGTGGAGAAGGTCAGGAGTGGATGGGAGTGGGGTGTGCAGGGGGGGAAAGTGAAGGTGGAGAAGGAGAAGGAGGTCGGACCGGCTATTGGGTGGACGGTTGGGCGGACTGATGTAGGTGCGTGGATGTTTAAGAATGTGGTGGAAGCAGGTGGGTGGGAGGGGAGGTGTGTTAGTCTGACGTATTGATCTGGGTAGGTAGAGTGAGACGTGGGGCCGCCTGGCTACAGTGGTGTTGTGTGTGTAGTGTTCTGGTTCATTTTGCTTATGTACATTATATCCCGTTCATACATGGTATTCGTCCCGCGGCTTGCCCGAGCGCGCGAAGTATGAAATTTGACATGGTATTCGTCGGAAGAATTTATAAGACTGTTACAACCGAGACATGGTTCAAAATCAGCTCGGAAGTTACTTTCAGCAAAACATAGCCATCGCTATCTCTTAGCAATGTTACCAAGCCGTCGCACCCCGTTTCGTAGCATTGAGCCGTGTTGTCGCCTCATCCAACTTCTTCCTCGCTTCCTCTTACTTCCGCCTGTATTCTTGGTATTTTGCCTTTGCATCGTCGCATTCTTTGCTCGCCTTCACATGGGCGCGGGTCGCATCTTCGATGTCGTTTGGTCGGTCGCGAGATTCTATGTAGCCCCGGTGCTTTTCGCGTTCACGTCCATGTTGGTTTCCGTTATGGTTTCCTCGTCGACCAAGATGGGGTCCGTGGTTGTAGTCATCATCATAGTTCTCGCGCTGCGCTCTCCTCTTCGCTTGGTGGTAGCCGTACATGGTGATGTAGACTTGCAGTCTGTCTTACTGTGTGCTGCCATAACCATACGATTATATTCCACTGGTGACGTATCGCATGCGGCCAGTTGTCTGGTCAAACAGAAGTATTGACTGCGCCACGAGAAGGAACATTCAACTGTACTACAACCGCAGCGCAAAAGCAGTTGGCATTCAAGATGATAGATTGCTCGGTGCGTTCTACATCTTGCAACCTGGACAGCATGGATAGTACAGAGATAAGGTGAGCCTGCCAAAGCAGTGCAAGATATACCCATACTATCTGCGTTTCTAAAGTACCTCGTGTGGCTGAGCGAGAAAACCATCCAGATGTTGGCGGAGAGCAAACATTCGGACTTCCAGCTGTCAGCATGTATTTATGAGGCCTGCGTTTGAGCCCCCCATCTCAGCTATCCCGTCATCCAGGAGCCGGTGACACGTCAGTGAGCCAGAGATGAGTGTTCAGAATCGCAGAACAGTAAGCGCAGGAATCTGTCGCGAACCCCAGTCGAGGCAACACAACCTAACCCCTTCCGTCATCTTTGGCCCTCCACCCTCCGCCCGTCCACCACGTAGCCCCCAATCACCATCCCTGCTCCCCGCACGTCGTCGTCGCTGCATCTGCATTCTGCACGCACTGTAAAACGCAGCACAGCGCTCGCCCAGTTCAGTTCGCCACCTCAAATATGCCCCGCCTCCCACCTCTTCCCATACGAGGGCAAGGCGGACGTTGCACGCGTTCTTGAACATCACCAACCCCATCACAATGGCCGTGTGCAAGATCGAGGGGAAAAGCGACATGTACGGGCTGGGCATCCGACTGGGGTACTATTTCCTGTGGTACGGCGCGATATTGGCGCGGTGGCTGGCACCCTCAGAAATAAAGACATTGACATTTTCGACGGATGTCTTTGTCGCGGCGACGTTTCTCGCGCTCGTTATCCAAACACTGACCCGCGTTGAGAGTCTCGAGCCTGTCGAGACGTACATCGTGCTGTTGCTTATGTTCGGCGCGTATTTGGCTCTGGTACCGATATACGTGTGGCGGTTGTTGACGGCGTGCGATCCCTACTGGGTAAGTGGTTTGTGGTTCTTAGATATAACATTCCTACGAGCAGACATGTCCAATCGTCTCACATGCCAACCACACGGCATTTCTCCATGAATTGTCTTCGTCTAGCTCCTAACCTCCGAATCGCGTCTTCACAGGACCCCACACGCTACCCACGCGTGAACCTCGGCGCAACGTCAGCAAACCTGAGCTTCACCCTGCTCATAGGCGTGCTAGTCTTCCAGTACTGGTTCTGGTTCGAGCGCGTGCCGGACCTGGACCACCGCAGCTGCCAGCAATACGGCTTCGTCTTCGGCGAGGTGCGCCTCAACAGCAAAGCCTCGGTCGTCCTCCACGCGCTCATGTACTTCTGGCTCGGGCTCGTCTGTCTCTACATCCTGCTCTTGAAACTCCGCGCCGTGGTCGGTTTCCCGGATCCCGGCGCCCAAGGACGCAGACCGAAACGGACGCACATCGAGTTTCTGCAGCACCTGGACATCTGGATCAGGATTGTGATTGCGCTTGCTGTCACGGTCGCTACGGAGCTGACGATATCGTGGAACGAGATTGCGGGCGTTGGGTCGCTGTCTGGTGCGAGCCAAACGATCCCGTTTGCGATTGGATTGGTGGCAGTTGTGCGCATACTGTACGTGGCGATGACCTATGAGAAGGTTGAGCTGCCGAGCAGTCGCACAGGTTCAGTGAGCGATATGCCGCGTCCGGTGACAGCAAGACAGATGCCGGCCCGTATGAGGCCAAAGAGGTCCACGGCGTCCACTATATCTCGGCCTTCGCGGGTTCAGAGGCGATCGGGCTAGCCATAACTTTAGTTGCTGCATTTGCGTGGATAGTATGAATTTTGCGGTGCGACATGTTCTCTCAAGCTTTGAGTCGCACTTTGCTGGAGTCGCACTTTAGCAGCCAGCATTGCATCCGAGTGATGTGAGTTGTATTCTTCCCTGCGAAAGCACTCTCAGCACATGATCCGGAGGCTTTCTGCAACTGTAAATTCAACCCTTCAATCCTACTTATAATGTGGAATTCTTCCTCGCGCAACCTGGAATGCTCACCTGACGTACCAACGGGTGCATGAAACAAAGAAGCCTAATTTACTCCTTGATGCCGTAGATATAGGCATATAAAGGTTACGCTGTCGCTTTTTAAGATCAATAAATAGTACACGTGCATTGGCAAAGCACAACGCGCCTTTTTGTCCCCCCTACTTCATTGAGTCACCCTACCTTATAGTGAATCTCTACAATACAACATATAAATAGTACAACCCTCTTTTCAAAAAAAAGTGCCATTTCAGACTTATTCTCGCTATTGTTAGTGTAACCCTCATACGCCCATATCCGCTATTTTACTTTGATACATGTTGAGGTGTCAGCGTTCCCCTACGTTAGCACCCCACCAAGTCCACTCCCCACTCTTAGCTGCCGGCCACAAACCGAGATTTTCGTGACCCCACAAAATCTTCTGCAAACACTTCCTTACCCAACAACTATACTTTCCAGCCTCACACTCCCCGAAATCCCTGCATATATATTTTGAATTTCTAATTTTCTTAATCAAATGTGTAACAATCACATCAGAGAAGCCCTGCTGGCGCAATGGTAGCGCGTGGCCCTCCTACAGCGTTGCAAAACGCGTCAGGCCAAGGTTGCAGGTTCGAGTCCTGCGTAGGGCTTTCGTCTCATCGATTATCAGATGAAATCGATTAGCTTTTAGGCTTTTATCTCGACTTTTGTTAGATAGAAGGAGTTGACTTTGTTTTTACCTTCTGAGTATGTATTATAATTGATAATGTACGTCTCGTATACCTATAGTAGTATATAAAAGTCATACAGCATAGAATATAATATTCCTATACACTCACTCAATCTTTTTCGTGGGTTGTGTGTGGGTAGTTCTGTCACCTGTGACATGCATGTATACCATTTACTAGTCTTCCCTTTTAGTCTGTAGGAGAGCGCCCTGTGTATATAGTTAGAAGAAGAGGGCGGCTGCGTAGATAGGAGTGGATAGATACTATTAGATAACTACGCTATTAGTTTATAGGGAGGGGTTAGTTATAATCCGTATTTTCATCTTAATAGACCACTTTACAGGACTCCACTTCGTAGTCCGTGTTAACAATCAGAAAATCACGGGGAGGGGTAGAGGTGCTGTTCCAATGGTCAAGAAATACGATTATAGGAGTGCCCATTGTCGATCACAGCCCATCTCTCACAACGGGAGAGCATCGCTCAGCTCAACATCACATCACTCCCCCACCACACCACACCACCTCCACCTCCACCTCCACCCCTCCAAAGATCCCACCGTGCGCGCATACCTCACGCCTAAGACGCCCTGCACCCTCTTCGCCATGTATGCACCACCGTTCCCAGTAAAGAAAACAAAACCAGCGTATGATTAAATATGCGTAATTAAAACCTATCCCAAATCCCCACGCCTTACGCTAAGATGCTCAAACCCCATCCCCATCCGCCTTTGTTTTTCCTGTCCTTCACCCTACGAAGACCCCGCAGCCTCCCTCTTCTCCACACTCTCCTGAATCCGAAAATCTTCATTACGATTCCCCTGCACCTTCTCAATCGCATTCTGAATCGCAAGCACCCAGTGATCCCTCTCCGCCCGACTTCTCGCCCGAAACACGACACTGCGCCCTTTACTCCCCAGCTTCGCCACGCGCTTCAACTTGGTCCGCCGCCCCTGGTCGCGCTCCTGCTCGCCCTCGCCCGCGCCCTCCTCCGCCCGGAACCAGCTCTTGCTCTTGCCGTGCCACACCACAAACGTCGTCATGACGTCCTCGTCCGTTGACGTCCACCCGTCCTCGAGGTATATGCGGGGCAGTGCGTGGTGGCCGGGCTTGTTGGAGTCGAAGGTCTGGTTCTGGTAGAGGAGGTCAGACTCGGTAAGCAGCCCGCTGTAGACGTAGCAGTCGCGCAGGTCGAGGTTGGCCATGCGCTCGTGGTGGATGTGCGCGAGCTCCTTGCCCGTGCTGCTGCGCAGCACGTCCTGGAACATGAGCAGCGTGCCTGCGGCGAGGAGCACGCTGCAGCGCGTAAACGGCGCGTGGATGCGCGGCTTGCGGTAGAGCGTGCCGCTCATGTGGATCGCGCGGCAGTCCGCGATGCCGCACATGTTGTAGAGGAGCGGCGACGCAAACGACTGCGTGACCTCCCATTTCTTAGCGAACTGCCCAACGTACGCTTCGGCTTCTTCGTCGATGTTGAGCGCGCTGAGGTTGCGACTGCGCGTGGACTTGTAGAGCGCGATGTCAGCTGCAGTGCGGAATTTCCAATATTTGGCGAGCGCGCGGAGGTGCTTGACCCACTCCTTACGGCGGGCTATGTCTGCGGCCTGCAAGCGGATGATCAAGCCATTTCGCATGATGAGCTCGAATGTCCGCGCTATATCGACCTCACTTGTGACTCCATCATCCCTCGTAGAGTCATCCTCCACGTCCTCGTCGAAATCGACGTCCGAGCCAGTGTCAAGGGTCTCATCGACCGGTGTTGCTCCAAGCTGTGCTTTGCGTACTTTGGCGACATTGGCGAGGTCTATGTACCCGTCGCAATGGAACAGATTCTGCAACTTGCGTTGCGCCTCGTCTGCGGCGTCCTCGTCATGAAGTCTCCGGGACTCTGGGGTGCCTGAGTGACCATCCAACAGCCATTCGATGTGATCGTCTCTGACAGGATACGGGTTGATAGCCCATGTGTCGGGGGTTCTTTCTCTGATTGTACGAGCTGACGGAACTGCCAAGCCCTCCGCGGCAGGCATCTCAGGCGGGGGAGGCGGAGTGCTGTTGGTCGGGCGCGAGAAGACCAGAAATTGATCGTGAGTAGCGAAGTACAGCTGCTTGTGGTACATTAGACCTAAACGCCTTGCTCGTCCGCGCTGGCTGGTGAGCCGGATAAGAAACCCTTCCACCGGGACGGGCTCGGTCAGCGTTCTATGCTTTTTGCGGGTTATCGCCGTAGTTGGGTAATGTGTCTTAGGTCGAAGCTCTAGCTCGTGCGATTTCGCCATGGCTATGGTGCCGTACATCTTGCGCTCGTTCGCTCCGTGTATCCACTCGAGACGGTCGTAGCGCTTCCAGGCGAGTCCTATCCGCTGGTTTCTAGCCCACGCATCGAGTATGTCGGCCCACTCAGGCGAGTCCTCGAGCTGATCAAGACACTTTACAACCAGCGATTGAGCGACAGCTTGCTCTTCCTGCATCGTCTTCAGGATGACTTCTTCGTTATCAGAGTCATTGGCTTCCTGGGCTTTGCTCTGGGTTTCTTCGAGCTTTCTGAAAGGATCGGAGATGCGCAAGCTGACACTCATATCCGGGATGTTGATCTGGAGTTCTGACGCGCGCCGCCAGCCCATGACATTGCGAAGGAAGGTGTACCATTCGACGGCATTGGAAGCGGTCCGGGCCTGCATGATGAAGATGCGCGTGCCTCGCGAGGTAGGCATCCACACAACGACAGACTTGTCGAGCGAGGAGTAGAGATTGACCTTGGTGATCCTGCGCCCAAGTGGTATCTCGTAGGCGGCGTTTTTGCTGGCATTTGGATCCTCAATCTCGGGAATAACCTAGTCTCATGAGCTTTTGAGCCGCATGGAATCAGGGACACAATTACCCTAGTCTTGTACATTTGCAGTACAAAATCTGCGTTTTCCAATTCACTGTGCCGGCAGACGATCATGTACTCCCGCCATTTGTCCTTGACCCTGGAGTCGATCTTCTGGCTCGCATTCTCATCGAAGTCATCGGGGACCTCTACTCCCGCCGAGTCAACGCGCACCAGCATGCGCTCCATCTTGACAACGAGGCCGTCCTTGATCTTGCGCCTCCTCAGCTTCGTCGACGCCCGCTGGACCGTCATCTGGGCTTGTTTCGCCCTCAGGTGGATCGTCGCACGCTTCGAATCTTCGGGGATGTCAAACTTGACGAGATTCCGCAGGTTGGACTTTTTGCGGGAAAGCGTCTCGCCGGCGCGCTCAGCGGGTGATCCAGTCGACTCGGACGACCCCATGTGCGACTTCCTTTTTGCCTTTGCGAGAATGCCTTTGGCGGGCGATACGGGCTCAGGGACAGGGGATGACTCCTTTTGACTGTCAGCCTTGCGCAGCAAAGATGTTGTGGACACAGCATCTACCGAGGGCTCTCCGGTGTTGGGTTCGAGCCCGATAGACAGTGGCCTTTTGCCCTGGCTCTTGCTTCCTGTCGCGATAGGAACTTGTGAGCCACTTGGCTGTGGCTGCTCATGGCGTGGAAAGGGAATGGCTTCGTTGTCTTCGTCGTCCGAAGGTGAAAGGGGCCTGGACGAGGCGGTCACAAAGGACTTTGTGCTCTGGCGGCGCGCTGTTGACGGGCCGGACTGGTCCTCCGGCTCCTCTTGGTGGGTGTAGACGCGCAAGTCCTCGTCTGGCTCCGAGACGGCATCGACGAATTCTTCCTCGTCGGTCGACTGCACATTGTCCGTGTGCGTGGAGGCACGGGGTACCTCCAGGGCGGGCAGCGCCTGTCGGTTGGGCTCTCCGTCCGGGGCTTGCTCGCCATCTTCGGCGTCGACGTCGTCGGGCTGGGGGAAGCTGTGCCGGAACAGGGCCGACGCGCTGGGCCCCTCGAGGCCGGCCAGGCGGCGGTCGCGCGAGCCGCGGCGGTCGATGGGCGAGAAGGTGGCGGCGCGGTTCGAGTAGTTGATGTGCAGGTGGTGCTTGTACCAGTCGCGGCGGTGCGTCTTCAGCCAGCCCTCCTGTGAGCGTGCATCAGCGCGTGTCTTTGCATTGGGGGCAGCATGGCGGGGTCGCGCACTGGGATGGGCCCGATGAAGAAGCGCCGCGAGGTGAGGTGCAGATGCTCGGCGGTGCCATGTTGCTGCGAAGCCTGTCAGTGGGCTGCCAATGGCTCCAACGTGGCAGGCAGTGTCTCACCAGGCGCTGCGCAGTGTACGAGTCCGGCGAGAGCGTCGCGACGTCAGGGGCCTGGTGCCATGAATGCGCGTGTGGTTGGGGCATCTGAGGCCTCCCTTGCTTGCGTCTTGTCTCGCGCGCGTGCGTGTCGTGGTATTACATCAACGTGCTAGAGCACCTGGAAAGACATGTTGCAGTAAGAAGAAAGAGCAGACGCTGCGAAGAGAAGGCAGGAGCGATGGCGCGCTGCCACGGGAAGGCAGGTGCAGGGCTGCCGTGTAGCTGCCGCTGTTGACGCCTGGGCCTGGTCATGGCCACATCCTTGCGCCAATCGCTCGCGACGAGGCTGCACCTGAACACCACCCGCCGGACACGACAGCGCTGCGACAACTGCACCCAACTCCGCTCAGGTCCCCATGGTAATCGATTGTGGATACACAGTGTGGCGTGTGTCGCCCTAACCTCCACGCTCGAGCTCCGTCGAACCTCCTCCGCCCCCGCCTACGCCATCTGGAGCCCATCTCATCAACGACGCATCCAGCCGAACACGGAAACGCATGACGAAACGAGACGATCCAAGGTGAATGTCCTGTCTGACGAGTTCCTCTTCACATCCACAGCTGGACCTTTGAATCATCGAAAGACACGGAAGCCATGGAGCCATTTACCCCACGCGAACACTCTCGCCCATCATCCCTGCGTATCTGCACCTTACACCATCCGAACCTTCTTCATTTGGTACATTGTCGACAGAACCATCGTTCGCGGCCG